TTAGATTATGGATGAGAAGTCACTTATCAAAAAGTATCAGAAGGAAATTTCCTGTTTAAAGCAAGAGCTTGATCAATTAAAACGTGGGATGACGGGAAATCCTTTTATGGCTGCATCCACTCAAGAAGATCTGGTTAATCTGAAGCTTCAGGTTTGTTGCTGGTCCATGAAGTCAGTTTGATAATTAATATTTTCATTCTGTGTATTTTCAGTATGGTAGTATGATTCTATTGATGAAAAATTGAATCATATTTGTTAGCTTGATGGCTTAAGCTGTCTAGTGTGTGTGAATGTTTGTGTATGAACATGCACCTCGCATTATAGCTTCAAGCATGACTGTAGCACAACTGGGCTGACTGCTGAGCATGTGTGACTAGAAATTCCTTCCTTGAACTAAGAAAAAGGAAAATAAACCAGAGACAGATTATTAGAAACAAATAGTGCTACTGAATTTAGAAGACAATACACCTTAACTTAGATATTTTGTTAGATTAGCATTTAATCCAGAAACTTAAACATCTGGTAGTGGACTTGTGATGCAATTAAGCAATCTGTTGGGCATACAATATTGAATTGAAAATTTATTAGAGACAAATTTCAATATGGTGGAGACTGGAAAGATTGTTATCCCTAAAATGCTATTTTATATATATATATATATATATATATATATTATTACCAATTGACAACAGAATAGGTAATTAGCTATGAATTCTCAATTTCTGCTATTTCAAGTTAGTTGTTTGTTTTCCTTACAATATTAATATTTCATGGCGTCAAAGTTGGAAGCTGGTCATGTCAAACTACAGTCACGATTGGAAGAAGAGGAACAAGCCAAAGCAGCTTTGATGGGAAGAATTCAGCGATTGACTAAACTAATATTGGTTTCCACTAAGAATTCCATGCAATCAAGCATTACTGGAAGGTCTGGACATAGGCGAAGGCATTCTTTTGGGGAAGATGAGGTTTGTGATCTATCGTGTGAAGCATATTTAGCTTGAAAAATGGCCTAAATTGTTTTTAATTTTTGCATTAAATTATTCTGTGAAATGGTCTTCATAATTTGGGTTGATGCAGCTAGCATATTTGCCTGATAGAAAACGAGAATACTTGATTGATGATGATGCTGGCAGCTGTGCTTCGGAGATCTCATTAGATGGAAGGGATGAGGTTACAAGCATGGATGAGTTGGTTAAAGATTACAAAAGGAATAAGAAGCGTGGAATGCTTGGCTGGTTTAAGCTGAAAGTAAGCTTCATTATTTGTTGTCCTAGTCATTGTTTGGCATATTTATTTCTGTGCTGTTCTTAACTTGACCAGGTACCAATACAAAGAAGATTAGTGTTGCAGGATGCATCTATTATAGATATCCTCTCAGAAATTAATTTATTTCCTTGCAAAATTTTTTGCAATAATATTTGTGGCCCATTGGATTGTGAGCTACACAACAAGGATAAAACTCTGCTTTTCCAATTACCTCCCTGTCATTCCCAATTTTTTAACTGGAGACCCCCAACTTGGAAGTCAAAAGCTTTAAGTTTGAAGCTCTATCTGTTGGGACCTTCCCTAAGGGACTGCAATTTTGTTATGGTAATAATAATCCCTAAAAAGACAAGCTAATAATTCTGAAGGTAAATATTTGAAATTTCAGTGTCACTAGGGCTCTTGGGTTGCTTTAGATTTAGATTTTCAATCTAGAACAATTTAAGACTTTTTCATTCTAAAGCCTAAAAGTCTGTTACCTGTGGATATTTTCTTGTAATTTTAACTAAACTACCTCAAGAGACAGTCTTTACAATTTCATTTTTTTTCTCTCTTGCAGAAGCCAGAGAATCTGGTTGGATTGTCACCAAGTGTCGATAGTGGCAGCTCAGCGAGTGGTTCTCCTGCATCTTGTTCAAAATCATCACAAGATAGAGTCATGCCTAGTGATGTGAAGGATAAACAAAGAAAATCAATTAGTAGAAGAGGAGATGATCCTGTTGTCATCAACTCTTTTTCAGAAAGAACTCCAGCTGGTGACTTGTTTAGTGCAACTGTTACAGGTTGTCATTTACCTCCGGTAAGAAATGCCCTTAGCAATTTCTCTCAGTATTTTCAAATACATGTGTTCTTAGGGTCCTCATTAATTTTATTTCCCAAACAAGTTTCTACTTTGAAGCATATATCTCAATCTTGAGTCACTATGGTCTGGCATTCGTTTCTAAGTTATGTACGTTTGGTCAATTGCCATGAGTTATTCTAAACAATATTCAAATATCTGGTTTAAAATTTTCAATAGAATGCAGCATCTGGATGCTTTTCAGGCTGTGCTATTTTGCATGATTTTTTTCTTATCATTTTGTGCCTTTGTTAAAAACCATTAGTTTAGTTTGGTTGAAAGGGGAATGTATCATGAGGTTATATAAATGGAGGATCTGTTTTTGGGAAATAAGATCATGTTTTTAAGTGAATTTTGAATGATGGATTTCTTCTTTGTTAACTGTTTTGTATACTAACTGGAATTCTTAACTGTGCTCTTTTGAAGAGTGGGACCACTGTTACGGATCAAATGGATCTTCTTCAGGAGCAGATGAAAGTGCTTGCAGGAGAAGTGGCATTTTCAATTAGTTCTCTGAAAAGGCTGTCAGAAAAAACAGCTGGCAGTCCTGAAGATCCACAGTTACGGGTGAGATACTTTCTACTGAAATTTCCTTTCTTTTTTTTCTGCTGGGGGGGGTGGGGTTGGGGGAGGGGTGGAACTTTTAACTTTTTTTTTGTATTGGTTGCTTGACTTCTAAAGTTTGATGCTCACAATGGTCAATATAGGAACAAATGCAGAAATTGAAGGATGAAATTAATGAAAAGGGGCATCAAATACGTATTCTAGAGCAACGTATGATTGGATCAGTTGCGATGACTCCCCATACATCAAATAGCACTGAAATGTCACAGGTAACCATGCACTTATGAATTGATTTTCACAAAATCAGACAAATGATGTTTATGAGTAAAATGAACATAGAAGAATTAATCATTATATCTTGACATCAAGATTTTCTGACGGCCTGACATATTGACTGCATAGGCTTTTTAATAAATTGACAACATAGTTATTTAAGCATGTATTATTTTCAAAGTCAAGCTCAGATTTCCATCTCATTTCATGGAAATAATGTTTTTATCTTGACTCTGTTTGATTTTTTTTTTTTTCCTTTTTCCCTTTCTGGCCAACAGATTCAGTTTTTTTTTTTTTTTTTGGCCATCAACTAACTGACTCTCTTTGATGTCAATCATTTCTGCACTCTATGAAGATCTTTTTTTTTTCTTTTGAAACAGCAGTCAGTGGCAATAATTTATTTTCTTTTCTAATTTTCTATTTAAGATGAGGAGGCATTTCTTTAATTAATATTATGTCTTTGCTCTGGCTTTCAACTAAAAGCACAGCATTTATGTTTCTTTTTGGATTATGTCAATTTTGATCCATGTCGTTAAAATGCTCATATTGGCCCTTGCATTTAATTGTTTTTCATTTAGGTTTTCCATTAACTCAACTTAATGTAGTCCACAAACAAATCTATCATAACCCTTTCTCTTTTGTTTATCTTTTTTCTCAAGGGGAAGGGGGAGTGGGGTAAGAAGGAAGGTAGTTTATCATTGAGTTGTTGCTAATTTTCAAGAAATATTCTTTTGCTGTTTGTTTCTAATTCTGCTTTCTACTTCTCTAATTCAGGCTTTGTCCAAGCTTACAACACAGCTGAATGAGAAAACATTTGAACTTGAGGTTTACTAATACTACATCCTTAGTTGTTATAGAGATAATGTTTCAATATGAAAACACATACTTATTTTGTGGATTTGATTTTTTCTTTTTTTTTCTTTCCATGTAATTACCATTCAAAGATTAAGTCAGCTGACAATAGGGTACTTCAAGAGCAATTACAAATGAAGGTATACATCTTAAGTTGCATTTTCTACTTCATTCTTTATTGTGTTACTTTGTTCTACTTTATTCTACTTTTACCTAAACTTTGTTTCTATTGATAGATAACGGAGAATTCTGAGCTGCAAGAAAGCATTCTTCTAGTGAGGCAACAACTTGATTCATTATCAAACAAAAGCCCAAGGAGTCCTCAGCAGAATGGAGAAAATGAGGTTACCACGGTAAAACCTCGTTTTGAGGAGCTTTCTCAAGGGAAGAACAAAAGGGGGATTGGTATTCAGTCATGTGAAGAAAGTTGTTTTGATGAGAATACACCAACAAGCATCATGAGCATGAATAGAGTATTTTCCCAAGAAGATTCTAAGGAGTGTGACAAGATTAACTGTTTGAATTCCCAAGTTCTTTTTCAGGTTATTGCATCCTTCTTTCTTTTTGACATCTTAAAATACATTATCCATATGCCATTTTGCTCTCCAGCCTTTATCTTTTCGTAAATGCAGATTGAAGAGCTTCACGCATGGCACTAATTTATTAACATTTAATATATTTGTAAATTTGTCTAGGCTGCTGAGATAGAGAACCTAAAGCAAGAGAAGGTGAAATTGACTGAAGAGAAGGATGGACTTGAAATTCAAAGTAAAAAACTTACCGAGGAAGCTTCCTATGCAAAGGAGTTGGCTGCAGCTGCAGCGGTTGAACTCCGGAACTTGGCTGAAGAAGTTACTAGGCTTTCTTATGAAAATGCAAAGCTGACTGGTGAGCTGGCCATGGCAAAAGAAGCTCACTGCAGATCCAACTGCTGTCAGAGGTCTGCTGCATATGATTATAGGCAAAATAGCACTGGCTGTGCTTGGCCTGATGGATGCCCCAGAAAATCAGATGATGAAATTTTGGTTGAGGAGTTGCAGAAAGAACTTCATGTGAGAAACCAGAGAGAGGCTGAGCTTGAAGCTGCATTGTCTGAAAAAGATCAAATAGAAGGTGACCTGCGAAGTAAGATTGATGAAGCCAAACATCGTGAAGAAGATTTGGAGAATGAACTTGCAAATATGTGGTTGCTGGTTTCAAAGATTAGAAAGTCCGGGATTAATGCTGAGGACATGTCATCATCAAATACATCACAAACAGTAGTCAGAAATGGGTCTCTTCAATCTGGTCATTTCTCTAAAATGTCCAAAGCAAATGAAAGCTTTCAAAATGTGGATGGGATACATATGTTTGAAGACTTAAGTGCTTGTTATATGGAAGAAAGGAAAAGATGCAAGGAGCTAGAAAGGCTTATTTCCAGATTGAAGGTATGCACTCCTGGCAACATTTTGAAGAACTAGAGCTTTAAAATTCATTTTATGCACTAATTTACAGTAGTTGGCATTTTTAAAATTGTAAGCTTTTTGTCTTTTCATCCAGTTGACTTCGATGATAGGATTAGACCCTAGGAGAGGAATACATGTTTTGTACATGAACTTACTTGACCATCCTTTCAGGGCGAAAATATCTACACTCTGGATGCAGCTGCTCTCGAAGAACTCCAGAATTTTCATGTTGAGGCTATAACAAAAATCTCTCGTGCGAAGGTCATATCTCTATGTTTCCTTTCACCATTTTGTTTTCATAATTGTTTGTCAGCTTCTTATGTTGCCTTTATTAGACATTTTTTTATTATCAATACCTAAGTTTGATAGTTTTAACAAGCAAACAGTTAAAGAGTAATTCTATAACCACTTAACATTCTATGCATTATTATCATATTTGGAGACATACTGATATATTCTTAGGATTTGAAGTTCAAAATTCTGCACCAAATTTGGTTATTCAAGTTAATTGTTCCCTTCTTTTGGTTCTGTATATTCTTTTGTTAACTTTGGTCCATTTGTTTTGCAGTGTGCAAATCATGTCTTGTAGTTTAACA